GGTATGAAGCAGTTTTAAATTTTTAGGCTAATTGCCCACCTTTAGAGGTGTTTACAATTTAGTGAGTGAATTAGTCATTGTGTCCAGTGGAGATCTTAGGTTATACTAAAAAAATTAATTAATTTCGGAGTATCAATTTGCTTGCACGGACAGTTCAATTAGTTCTTGAGTGGTAAATTGTGTACAAGGATACATGGTTGAGCTCTGAAAGTTACAATGTGAGATGAACTTCTTGTGAACCTACCTAATAGGCTGTTGAGTTATCGTGATTTACTCATTTAGTATCCTATGAGCCTTTGAAGGAGATGTAATTTCGATTTTTGTGGTTAATTAATTACCCATTTTTTATTTTAATTTTTTTTAATGTATAATATTGTAAACAAAAATTACTATTACAATAAATAATGTTGTAGAAGACAAGGCTGCGTACCAAACAGCATACTGACGTAGTTTCACGTTGGTCAAATGTTGCAATCGTCAATTCGGACGTGTTTGGCAGAAATGAGAATAAAAAAACGTGTTTGGGAATTGGGAGGACAAAAATGGGACATTCTCTCTCCTATTCTTTTTGTTTTTAATTTTCTATTGTCTGTAATTTTAGCAACCACAATTTTTTTTATTAATAATAAAAATGAAAAAAAGAGGGGGAAGGACAAAAATAAAAGTGAGAAAAAAAAAAGGGAATATAAAAGGACAGCTAAGAGCTCCGGCCAAATGAAGAATAGAATCCGGACAACAAAATTGAGGAATGATTGATGATTCTCTTTTTTGGTAAAAAATGATTAGCCATGGAGTAAAGAAAATTGCAAAGTAAGCACCTCAATGACCTCATAGTTACTATTATTTGACTTATTATCAAAAATCTCACCAGACAAAAGATTACAATGAGCCAATGAGATAAATCAGTTTACGTTATCCCACAAAAAATAAAATTTAAAACTTTGTGATTACCAATTAAACGGTTCAATCAACTTAGTTGGGGTTGTCGCCTCTTTATTCTTTATTGGTGAACAAATAGTCATAGTTTCATAGAGTTCGGATTCAAGTTCGATCACTCTTAAATTAATCTAAAACGTCTTTTGAATTGAGTCAATATTTCGATCCTTTATCAATTTAGAGATAGTTGAGGATAAATTTTTAACCGATTGAAATACATTTTAAAACCTCGTATACCATTTTAATGATTGGATAAAAGTGCTACTTTAATGTAAAAATTGAAGAATAAAAATGAGTACGCTTATTAATTTATATTTCATGTAAAACTAGTAAGCTGCAGGCCGGACCTTTAAGAGTATGTTGTGATAGGAACACAACTCTGTATGTATAATGTTTGCATATATCCCAACACAAACATCATTATCTCCCTCTGTCAGACCTCTTTACAATCTTGGCTTCATAAAAAGAACAGAAATTACTTGGACTTTTACCCACCACCTCACTTCAGGCAAATTATGCCCCGGAAACGTGTTCACCATGAATGATGAATGGTGAACACGGATCCAAACGATGCCATTTTTACGGAAAAAAAAAATCGTTAATGTGGTGTTAACGGCGCGCGTTTGGTCAGATTATGAATTTTCTGTTATGAGATTATGAATGTACTGTAAATTCATAATCTCATAACTGCACATTCATAAATCCATGCAATTATGAATGTGCAGGCATGGATTTATGAATGCGCAGTTATGAAATTATGAATTTTCTTTTTATGAGATTATGTTGAAGAAGCTTGCGCGAAGAGGAAGTGAAACCGCAAAATGTGAAAGTGAAGAAGAAAAGTCACGCGATTAATTAAGGGAAAAAAAAAAAAAAAAGATAACGGTGTACTAACACCGTTGAGACCGTGTTCACCATTCATGGTGAACACGGTTCCATGGCATAACGATCCCTCACTTTACATTAGAAAATTTGTTAAAAGATTATTTGTTTTTAATGACGAAAAAAAAATTATGCTGATAAATCGCATTAAAAATATTATCATATGTGATTGGGTTGATTAAGGGAATGTTGACAATAATTCGAACTCAGAATTTTTTAGTACAAGAATTATGTTTCACCAATTTTTTTTTTTTTTTTAAATGTTTAAACACAAAGTGTTGGGTGATAAGTTCTTTTGTTTGAGTATATGCCATGTCTTGTTATGATTTTGTAATTATCAAAGATTGTTCTTTGATAATTACTACTTTGAATTCTATTTTTTTTAGAGCATGTTTGGTTCGATGAATAAAATTTATAAGGAAAAAAGTTTTTCTTAAATTTGAAAAAAATTGAAATTTTCTCAGTTTGGTTCATAGAAAACTTTCTTAAGACACACTTTGTAGTTTTGCATGGTACACATTTACATTTGAATGTTTGTTTCCGACCATCTAATCTTGCCCTATGAATGTGTGTGTGTGTGTATAGTTTGTGTGTCCCCTCTCGTATGAAAAAATTAATTTGTCAAACACTTTGTCACTTAATTGATCGAGTCAATTCGGTGCGAACGGAAATTAGTTTGAGTATAGTACGGATTTAAAGGTATCTCCTTTATGACACATATTGTCGTCTGACAAAAAAAAAAAAAAAAAAAAAAAAAACCAATTTATGTGCGTGCGTGCACGTAAACTAACCAACAATGTTAACAAACTCAGTAACGTAAAGTATTGTAAATTTAAAATGCACATAACATTATATATTGGGTATTGAAAAGTGGAGGGGAATATATATAAAAGTGTTTGATGAAAAGTCTGGCAAACGGCATGAAATGGTGCTATGCATCATCCCTAATTTAGCACATCAATCATGCCGTAAATATATGCTAAGATTAATGGATCACACTCCATCTTTTTTTTAATAATAATAATAATATTATTATTATTATTATTATTACTTTTTAAAATTTTTTTTTTTCATACTTGTCAACCGTTATAAGTCAAAAAAAGACTACATGCATACATACATACATATGGTAAATTGGATTGCAATCAAAGCTTTCAACTTTGTCTTGCTCTTCGCTTTACAATCAAGTTCAACCCCGAACTAACACTATTTTATATTCTACTTAATTTAGTTCCACTTCTTGAAAAATATTTTAGATTTTTTACTAAATAATGTTATTTTATGATAGAATAATGATGTTATTTAACGAAAAGTGATATATTTATACATATTTATGTGTCTCTCTATGGATTGAAAGGTTTTGACTCACCTCAAGCTTTGAACTTATGCATTTTAAGTTGAAAAATATTGCACCTAAAGCTTTAAACATACGCACTTTAAAAGTTAAACTGATACACCTTAAACTAGAAAGTGACGTCGGCCTTAAGCTACAATACACTTACACTTTTATATAATAAAATGTGAATGTTTAATTACAAAAAATTACAAAATTGTCATTACGAAACCTTTATATAGTAAAATGTGAGTTTTGAGTATGTTGTACGAAATCGTTATCCCAAAATAGGAAAATTAAAGATACAATAATTCAGAGTTGAAGAACTTCTTAACGTGGTTCACTTTTTTTGTCATTACATATAACATTTTGAGAAACAGAAATATGAAATTAGAATCTAAATTTACTATTTAAAATGATATAATTCTGTTTGACCACCAAACTTTGAATCTAAGAAAAACATTTCAATTAATATTATGATACGATATCACAAAAATTTCTATATATATATGAGTGTGCACTCGCTATTAATTTTTTTGGCATTTTGAACATTCTCCTAAATAGTATATGTATTTAATAAAAATAATTTAATGATTTTGTCGTTTTAAGAATTACCTTACGTAATTTATAATTAATTTTAATTAAAATTATTCCATACTGTACTATAATTATTTATTACTCAAGATCTCCTACCAAAGTAACACGTGGCAAGTTCTTGTTTTTTTTTTTTTTTTTTGGTTGGCGGTTTAATTTTACACGGATTTTTCTTTTATTATTTGGCACATCAATTGCCAATATATATATAACTTTAATAATAAGTGAAGGAAAAAAATTGAATAAATAACAAGTCAAAAATAAAAAGACAAAACAATTAAAAGAAAAAAAAGAAGAAGGTACAAATAGCCGCAGAACCAGCTAACGTTTCTCTTTACAGGTGGCATGTTATTTATTATATAATTTATAGTTAATTCGAAGAGTGCCAAGCTGTCGGTCGTGTTTTATTATTATTATTTTTATATTTATTATTTATTTATTTATTATTATTTTCACCATAATAATAATGCATACATACATACATATCCCATACTTCACTTATCCAATAAAAAAATCTTAGAAATCTTAAATTTTAAAAAAGGTTTAGTATTTTTTTTGGGTCTAATTAAAAGTTTACCCAATCGTTAAACTAAGATTATACCTCGAAACTAATCATGTTCGTATCGAATAAGATCTTAAAATCAAAACGCCCTTTCATGTATTTTAAGTAACTGTTAATAAATTGTAATTTAAACACGTTTTCACGCCGGCATGAGAAGCTCATTTAGTCAAAAGACAAAAATTTAGAAACAATGACCCAGAATCGAGTTTCATCAGCGACAGTGTTAGAACAACAGATGCTCTGTCAGACCTGGACGTGTGGCACAATAAGAGCTAAATTTATTATTTGTTATTTTTTAAAAGACGTTATTTATTCAGCGGCAGTGTTAGAACAACCTCACAGATGCTTTGTCAGACCTGGACGTGTGACACAATAAGAGCCAAATTTATTATTTATTATTTTTTAAAAGACGTTATTTATTCTAATTTGTATTATTAAATACCGAGATTAACGAAATTTCTACTTTACGTTATTATTATTATTATAGGTTTTAATAATTTTATTTCTGCGGGGTTGGGGGGTGGAATTTATGCGTTAAAGAGTGAGTACATAGGTTTACCATTGGTTTACTATCGTTGTTGTTTGCTAAATAATTTTGACTTGAAGGCGTCGGTGGTTAACCGCAGATTTTATTTACAGTTATATATACAACCGTTGGATTTACACACTATACATATATAGAGAGAGAGAGAGAGAAAAATTAGGGGGGATAGAGAGAGAAACGGGGAGGAGAGAAGAAAGAGAAGAGAGAAAGAATCGCTTCGTATATAAGCCAATCCATAGAAGCTCTGCTTGCCCAGGGCGTCTTCTTGATATTCAACCAATAAATACATACATTATATATATATAGATATATAGGTGTATGTATAGATAGAGAGCTGTGATTTAGAGAGAGAGAGAGAGAGGTATAGAGAGAGGAAGAGAGGAAAAGAGAGTTTCCTTGGCCTTTCGGCTTTATTTTCATTTTTTCCAGACATAGAGAGCCGACGGCCATGCCAGATTCAAGCAGCGATTCCGTTTCTATTGACGTCGAGACCATCTATCTTGGCGGAAAGGTTCCATTTTTTCTTACCGTATAATATTTGGGTGTTTTGTGAATTGCATTATGTGCTATAAGCTTATATTGTGTATGAAATGAAATTTATTTGGGTTAAGAGAACATTGCAGTTGTTTTGCCTTATAGAGGATTGGGAAATTTATTTAATTTATGTTTCTGCAAAATTAAATTTTGGAAACTATTGAATGTTGATTGGGTTTGAAGGAATTCATCTGGCTGCTTCATTTTAAGCTTTTCAGTTTGGAAAGGGCTTTTCATTTTCCATTTTTTGCCATAGCTTCCATTTAGGTAATTCAGGAATTTATAGGTTTTAGATTCCTATGAGAGAAAAGGGAATTTGGGGTTTCATTTTTTTTTTTTTTGTTTAATTAACAAGTAAACTCCTTCAAGTTTTGCCAAATGGCCTTATGGCCTTGTAAGGTTTAGTAGGGATAACTGAAGTTATGTAATTATTGGGATTTTGTTTGAATTTGTTCTTCAAGTTTTATCCTATTCCCATGAATTCTTGTTGTTTTCTTCTGATTCCTCTATTTCATTGGTTGAAAATTTGCCTATCTTTTCATACCTGTCATCTTCTTATTTTATTTGATAACACCTTGCCTTACACTCTATCTGTTACCTTTTTAAATCATTGGAGCTATTATCATTGATATATTATTAGTTTATCTTTGAAAGCAATGTTAATTATCTTAGTTTTCATCTTTCTACTTGAAAAATAAATAAACAAATAGCATTTGCGTTATTTTGGTTAATGGCTAGTCAAATGATTGGCCATGTGAGCCGTTCCACATGTTTCTTTCTCTAGGAAACTAAAAGATGTGTACTTTTTCATACTAAATGGCAGTTCTTTTGAGCTGTGATAGTATATAAAAGTACTAGCCATACTCGAATTATTTAATTTGCTCTTAAAAAGCATAGTGGTTTAGCAATTGTATGAGGGAGTATATGATCTTTTGATAGTGTGCGTTTTTACTTATGGGATTGTAACTTAACGTAAATGGACCTTTTTTCAGGAGCATATCGTACACACTGGCTGTGGTTCCGTGTCTGTTATAGTTTATGGAGACCATGAAAAGCCGGCACTAATCACTTATCCTGATTTAGCTCTAAATCGTGAGTTAGAACCAAGAAGTTTCTTTTTTAGTTTGTTCCATCGATTTCCAGAATTTTTCTTTGGAGTTTGCCTAATGGTGGATCTCTATACAGATATGTCCTGTTTTCAGGGACTTTTCTTTTGTCCAGAAGCCGCATCTTTGCTGCTACATAACTTCTGCATTTACCATATCAGCCCTCCCGGTCACGAGGTCTGTCAATTGGCTAAGTTGTCTGCTCTTACATATTCTCGTTAGTTTTGGGATTTTTTTTTTTATCCATTCAAACTGGAACATAGATACCTTTTTATTGTTTTATTCACATGATGTTCTGTGACTTCCACAAGAGTTCTTGCAGTTGGGAGCTGCTTCAATTTGTCCCGACGAACCTGTGCCTTCTGTGGATGATTTAGCCGATCAAATACTTGAAGTTCTTAACTATTTCGGGTACTATACTGATTCTTTAGCCGATCAAATACTTTTATTTTTACTTGTCTCTAATGGTATGACCGTAACTTTTTTCAGGCTTGGTGCAGTAATGTGCATGGGGGTAATGGCCGGTGCTTATGTCCTCACCTTATTTGCTGTATGTCTCCCTTGAATTATTTAACTTTTCCCGTACGTTTTTTCTTTTCTGATTTCACTGATAGTGATATCCTTGACAGTTAAAATTTAGGGAGCGAGTTGTTGGGTTGATTCTTGTTTCCCCACTATGCAAGGGGCCATCTTGGACCGAGTGGTTCTATAATAAGGTTCGTATTTGACTATTTTCTCCTTCATTTACTTTTTTAGATAGAGATGGAAAATCGATGTGAATGGCGTTGAGATCGATGTTAATCTATGTAGGTGATGTCTAATTTGCTATATTACTACGGAACGTGTGGCCTGCTTAAGGAGTGTTTACTACACCGATACTTCAGCAAGGTAATTCTATAATGCGTTCGGATCGTTCTTCCCGTGTGTTTGTTACTACTCATTGGTCGAGTAATAAGGTTGCTTCGAATGGTCTCAGGAAGTACGTGGCAGTGCAGAGGTTCCGGAATCCGACATCGTTCAGGCTTGCAGAAGAGTAAGTCCCGTAACTTATCCAGTCCGGTCTATGTAACTCACGAGAAACGCCCTTTTCTGCATTATGGCCTGACATTTCTCGACACCACTGTTGCAAAAATCGGTCTAGGTGCTCGCCTAGGCGCTATGCGCCCCTATACCGTAGCGATTTCCTCCCTAGGCGCTATGCGCCCCTATACCGTGTCGATTTCCTCCCTAGGCGCCCGCCTGCCTAGCGCCTAGTTAACTCGTCTATTTTGGTCGAGTTAACCCGGTCGACTTGGCAGGGCTATATATATATATATATATATATATATATATATATATATACACACACACACACACCAACACACGTGCAATGTTTTTTTTTTTTTTTAGTTAGCCGCATAGACGCCCGCCTAGGCCGTCTAGGCACTAGAGGCTACTCTACCGCCCGACTAGCGCCTAACGCCTACTGCAACCATGCTCGACACTCATCTGTTCTCCACTTATTCAGTTGCTTGATGAGAGGCAGAGCATCAACGTATTGCGGTTTCTTGAAGCCATCGATAGGTGAGAATAAGATTTCCGGTTTTGTCAATAAAGTTATCTTTTCAACTTTGGGCTCAAGAAGTGATTAAATCGAATTTCTCTCAACTGATTTTGGAAAACGAGCAGGAGACCCGACATCACTGAAGGATTGAAGACACTACAATGTCGAACCCTCATATTTGTCGGGGATAGTTCTCCTTTCCATTCAGAGGCTCTCCACATGACCGCTAAACTCGATAGAAGATACAGTGCCCTAGTCGAGGTATGCTCCCTTTAAACGGTTTCATTACTGAAGTTATATTTTCACTTTCTGCAATATCTTTTTTACCCGATATTCAACCAATTAGGTAATTAGGTAATAGAGTAATAACAGATGCTGCAGATGTTTGGCCAAAACTGCATTTAAGTTACCCGATTGATTTTAATACTAGAACCAGAAAGCATTGATTAGATTCTGTAGAATGCTGAGTGCTTAATTCAGGCTGAGCTGGCATTTTTTGGATCATGTGTCCAGGCGTCCAGCTGTAGTGTATGAAATAAACTGCTGCATTTATATCCGGAAAATACTATGTGTACTCTCACTCTATACTTCCAACTTTTACTCCCACATACAAAATTTCGATTTAGACACTTGTATTGGGACCCACATGAAAAAAGTAGCTTATCAGAGCCCGCCACATCAGAGAGTAAAATTTAGGGAGTATGATTTAGGAGTACATGTAGTAGAACTGCTGCTGTTCATAAAACATGGGGTGATTATGTGACACAGGTACAAGCTTGCGGATCAATGGTGACAGAGGAGCAACCACACGCAATGTTGATCCCGTTAGAGTATTTCCTAATGGGGTTTGGACTATACCGGCCAAGCCAGTTCACGGGGAGCCCAAGGAGCCCTCTAAGCCCATCTTGCATCGCGCCCGAGCTTCTCTCCCCCGAAAGCATGGGACTGAAACTAAAACCAATAAAGACCCGGCTCACGCCCCATCAACTCCCGAGCACAAGACGCTGATATATGGTTTCCAGAACTCGGTGTAAATCCAACCAGTCAAACCATATAGATTTTTTCTTCTTTTGTTGATTATTTTTTTAAAAAATTATGGAGATTCGGGGCGCGCTCACATCTGGGTGACAGGGTAGATATGGTTGTGTAGATATAGAAAATCAGCAAATTCTTTGATGGACATATATAGGGAGGGAGGAAGATTTGGATTCATTTATTGTAGTTGAGGGCCATATAAAAAAAAACACCATTTTGTTGAAGTGTACTGTAAATTTTTCAAGGGGACTTTTGGAACAAATTTGATGGAGAACAGTGAATAATCCAGCTGTTGGAGCTGGTGATTGATGATGATGAATATATTTATTTGTGGACAATGGATTTTCTTCTCCCAAGTAATGAATATTCCCACATTCTGTACATACAATACAGCTCTCAACGCGCATGTGCACATGGAAAGAATGGACAAAATTGGATTTGGATTGTTAGGCAGACCTCGTGACAACATTCAAGGAAGGTATCCGTTAGGGTATCAATAATCTCATAAATCAGAATCACTTTTCACTTTTAAACTTATTAGGAATATATAAGGGTCAAATAGGCAATTGTATTACATTTTGTACCTATAGTTTAACTTGATAATTGCTAACACATAATATGATAGCAGGTACATAATGTATCAACGGTAGATACTGAGTTTGAAGATTATTTTTGGACTAGGGTCTATAATGCAAGGTAGACCCTGGTTTATGGTATTATTTGCCCGCAAATAGGACATTCAACTACACACCAAATTCCAAATTAGGCCATTAAATTAAAAAAAAAAAATTACAATTGGGTCATTAAACAATACAAATTCATGCAATTTAATCTAACATGATTTGTTTACCTGTTAAATATGTTGTCGTGTTGGTTACTTATTTAAAATAATTATTTTAAAATTGGAAAAAAAAAAACCAACTTGGCCAGAGACGAAGGGGTCCCCTTCATTCGACTTGAGTAGAGAAACCCATATTAAAGCACAAAGAGCACAAATAGTCAACATTGAGACTTAATCTCATGACCTCCCATATAAAAAAATCATTACATGTCATTTGAACACAAAGTACTTGACTAAGAGAACATATATTCTATACTAATGCTATTGGGGTAAAAATAATGAGTTCATTGCATATGTGCCCGTGTCAATATTAAGGCTACTTGCTTCCATTTTTTATTTTTTTTTTGGTATTAAAATCTTAGAATAGATTCGGATACTCATATTGACTTGTTAAGTACGGAGTAATATTTATTTTAAAAAAATAGCTAAATAGTATACATCTGAAATTATACAGGTAAGGATCACATTTGTATGAGATCGTCTCACGGATTTTTATTCGTGAGATGGATCGAGTCCGGTCGAATCAACGTGTAAATGTCATATTTATATGCTCAAATGTAATACTAATCAGGAATAAAATATTTGTTGCTTATAAGAAAAAATGCAATACTTTTGAGAAAAAATGTAATATTTTTGCATTTTGATGTAAAAGTATTATATTTTTCATCAAAAGTATTACATTTTTCATAATAAGTAATGGTGACAAGTGCCCCTTACTTATAAGAAAAAATATAATATTTTTGAATAAAAATGTAATACTTTTAAATTGAAATGTAAAAGTATTACATTTTTCTTTAAAAGTATTACATTTATTCTTATAAGTAACAAAAATTTTATTTCTAATTAGTATTACATTTGAATATATAAATATTACATTTTTATCTTGACCCGATTCATCTTACGGTGAAACGGAAGTTTTGCCTTACATTTAAATATACGAACAAAAAATCAAGTGGTATCGATGTCTGCAAATAATAAGATGCATGTGATAGCTGTTGGGACACGGATGTACTTCTGCCTCAGCAGATTATTGCTGACTCTTATTATTATTACGGATTATTATTATTATTATATAATTTATGAAAATGACACTTTTTTAAATACCCAATTGTGACGTAGTGGTCTAGAGTTAGCTTCTAAATTCTTAGTAAGTAATACATTTGGTTTTAATGGCGTGTTTGGTTCATGGAATAGGTTGAGAATGGAATACCGTTTCTGGGAATAGACTTATTCCATTGTTTGTTTTGTCATTTTATTTAAGATAATAGCGTTCTCGGGAATGAGTTATTCCCTTTGCAAGGGGAATAGCCATTCCTAGGGGACCCCCTGGTATTAGCTATTCCCAAGTATTTGGGAATAGCTTTAGTACTATAATACCGAAAATACCCTACCACCGCCACCACTGTCGCCGTCTCCACCACCACCCCACCGTCGCCACCACCACCACCACCACCATCGCCACCGCCACCACAACCACCGCCGGCACTGCTACCACCGCCGCCGCCACCACCGCCTCCACAACCACCGCCGCCACTACTACCACTACCGCCACCACCGCCACCGCCACCATCACCACCACCAACACCAACACCAACACCACCACCACCACCACATATTTTTATAAGGGTATTTATGTCTTTTGAAACATATTTCATTCTATTCTTTAAACCAACCAAACAGTGTAATATAATTCATAAAGTCTATTCCTTCCGCGAACCAAACAATAGAATAGAATTCATATTCTACTCCTTGCCTATTCCATTCCTTAGGAATAGCATTCCTATTACCTTAAAATTTATTCTGTGAACCAAACGTGTTGTAAGAGTTTCAACGAAATTTTAACATTAGGGACCAAATTGACTTTTGAAAATTATTTTTTAAATGTTTTAATATTTAGCTATTAAACAAATATTCATTCTGATCAAAATTAAAATGACATACTTTAGTAAAAAAAATCTTTTTAAAGATTTTCATATTTTTATCGCAGGCTCAGTTCTCTCCCTCTTTCTCATTGGTGTGAAACTGCGAGTTGAATAGCAATCTATTTAGTTATTATTTGAATTAGATTGAGCTAGTCCGATTAAAATATGAGTTTAGTTAATTTGTGTTAAACAATAAAAATTTTGATTTGACACAATTCATAATCCAAAAATTAAAGACATACAATTTTTCTTCAATTTCTTTAATTTAGACAAATGGCGTTTATTGATATCCAATTAAAATAACGATTGAACTAGGTCAAACCAAACAATAAAACCTTATCCCTATATAGTACACAACTAAAAAAAATTAAAAATAAGTTGTTCTTTTATCATTTAGTTAAGAGTTTTATATTTATCAATGTTACTTAAAAATGAGTCAGACAATGTCAAGTCAAATAATACAAATATTGGCCCGACATAGCCCACATTAAAAAAAAAAAGATAATTTTTTTTAAAAAATTCTTTAGTTCAAAATTATTGTATTTATCAATTTATGTATTTATTTTTACTATAATAAGGTACAAGTTAAAAATTATTTATTTACATGTTTTATTATTGATGGAGGAATGAAGCTTGCGCCCAAGATCAATTGGGCCATGAAGTGGATACTCGAGAATTAATTGGGTCCATAAAATACTCGGAACCCATGAGCATGATTTTTGAGGCCTAGATGAAAAGATAAGGGGATGTTTGGTTCATGGAAAATGTTTTTTAAAGAAAAATATTTTTCTTAAAGTGAAGGAAAAATGTTGTTTTCTAGTGTTTGGTTCATGAAATTCATTTTTCATTGGAAAATGAATTCTTCAAATTTGAGGAAAACAAAATTTTTGGTCGGACCAAGAATTTTGTTTTCCATGGAAGATGGGAAGAAAAAGTGAATAAATTGCCTATTTTACCCTTACTTTCTTTTTTAATTATATTACTTTTATTAATTTGTAGGGGCATATAGGTCTTTATACTCATTATTCCTTACAATTCCAAATCTAACCAAACAATAGAATTAGTATTCCTAGTAATTCTTTTTCCACCAACCAAACAATGAAATTCATCTTCCTACTAATTATTTTTCCATGGAATTCCAATTCCACTTCCCTTAAAATATTTTCCGCAAACCAAACGAGCCCTAAGAATGTTTGGGGTTCAAGTTGAAATGAGAAGTAGAGTTAAGGATATTGAGAGGCAAATATTGGAGGAATGAGGTCCGGAGTGGGACAAGGCAGAAAGTTAAGAGGGTGAGATTACAAAGACTACAAGAAAAGGGGAAAAAGTTTGATGCCCAAAGTGCGATGAGACATAAAATCCGAGAGTGGTAAGGTGCAAAGGTAAGGAAAATATATTAGGCAAGATAAGCCTTTGGCAAAATAAAAAAGAAAAAAGTCCAAAAAGTCTTGTCTTTAGCAAAATAAAAAAGAAAAAAATCCAAAAAGCGCACACACATACACACATTGGGGGTGGGAGGAGGGGGGTTAGCCCCTGGCTTGGTTGGCACCAATGGCCATTCGGCAGTGTTGACAATTGTCACACACACACACACATATTGGGGTGGGGGGTGGGGGTTAGCCCTTGGCCTGGTTGGCACCAATGGCCATTGGGCAGTGCTGACAATTGTTTGTCGCCTTTAAAGGTAATAGTGTCGGTGGCCAGGCTTATCCCATGGCTATTAAGTTGTAGAAGAGGGGATGCCGGTAAGTTTAGCAGTGGGAGCTTGGGACAATGTTTGGCGATGAGACACAGGAATTTGGTGGCTAGGTGGACTACATGCGTGGCTGGAGATCTCTAAGCATCTTGGTTCACTTGTTATCTGGGGTTTAGTAATTTACGATTTAAAATTAGTATAAAAGAGAGGGAAGGGAGGGGATCTCCTTCAACAATAGTCTTTATGGTCATCTATTTCCCTCACAAGTCATCCTTAATAGTCAAAGAAGTGTGCTTGGTAGTTTATTTACTTAGTTCGGTCAGAGACTTGAACCATTGACATAATTTTTATTCCCTTGCACATATTTAATTATTCACGGCCTAATTATGATACTTAATTCGGTCAGAAACGGAATTAACTCCTAGACTTATAACAAGGCGTTTGGTTGGAGGGGGGAATTATGTGGGAAAAGAATTGTAATTCCATGGGAGTTGAATTACTGGGAATAAAGTGGGAATTTAAATTCCAGTGTTTGGTTGATAGGAATAGAATTATTAGGAATTTTAATTCCAATGTTTGGTATACATGGAAATTGAAAGGGAATAAGTAGTATAAAGTCAAAAATGTCCATTATTGTTGTTAGACATTAATTTTAGGTTAAAAAATGAAGGAGTAATTTTGACTCATCACTATCTTTTTTTCCAGGAATTAAAATACCAGGGGGGATATGAGATTTTAATTCTATGAAAATGGGGGAAGTGCAATTCCATGGAATTGCAATTCCCTCCAACCAAACTACGGAATTTAATGGCCTTTGGAATTAGGTGGGAATTAAGTAGGAAGGGAATTTAAAATCACTCCAACCAAACGCCCTGTAAGTTTTAGAGTTAATTGACTTGAAACTTAAATTCAAAATTTCCACCAAACAATAATACTTATTCATATCTTTGTTTTTTTTTTGTTTTTTATTTTTTGCCAAAAAAAAAAAAGGAATAGAAGGAATGTTTATCTCATATTATTTTAGAATATTATCCGAATATTCGTTTCATTCCTTTATTAGGATGGGAAATTATAGTAAAACATTCCTCTATTAGGATGGGAAATTATAGTAAAACATACTTTAGAAAGTTGTTACAATAACGAGCCATGACTTACCCAGAGCCACAATTTTGAGTTCCGCACACACACGATGACACGAAGTATGCAATTTTACAGAATAGTCTTCGATAAAGCAAAGTCATATAAAAAAGCGTTTTCGATTCTCCCTCTTTCTTCTTCCTTCTTTTCCTTCAAGAATCGTTCATTACGTATTCGTCTTCTTCTTTCTCTCTCGGTGTACGTGTTCATAGAATCTAGGAAGGGGGATTAATCTCTTTCTGTTGACTTCCGCTTTCTCTCTCTCTGTTTTGTCGTGTCTGGGAGATTATTGATTTTGAATGGCAAAACAGGGAAATGAGAGGGAAAGGGTGTTCGAAGGGTTGCCTGTGTTCGCTAAGGAGTTGATTGCCGGGGGTGTCGCCGGTGGCTTTGCCAAGTCCGCCGTTGCCCCTCTTGAGCGCGTCAAGATCTTGTTTCAGGTCTTCTTCTCACCTCTTGATAACAAAGATGAATTCTTTTTTTCTCTGTTTCTCTTTTTGCAATTTTGGGTTCTTTTGTTTTTGTTTGTTTTAAATTGGGTTCAAGTTATGAATGATGTTCCGGTGTTGCGTTAATGGAGGATCATTGGCCTCGATCATACAGAATTGAATGCTGTAAATTTACACCGTACTTTACATTGAGTATTAGGAGTTTCCCCAATTTTGTAACTGTATTAGGGTTCAACTCCCACCAACAATTGTTTGGAGCTAGACCCCCCAAGCTAGAGTTTGGATCCTTAGATTGGAGATTGAGGTCTTCAAGTTGGCGAAAATACATGGATCCCTTGTGTGCAGAGTCAATGATGGGAAGGTTTGGAAACCGAATGTATCAAAAATAAGTAAATAATGAACTTTCTTTGTGAATGATTTGGATTGAGATGTTGTAATGGTTGTTGACAGTTAGCCTTGAACACTTGATTGGAGAAACTAGAGCTGAAATGGATCGAATGCATTTTATACTGGGATGTAGGTACAAGAAAGTTTGAGGAAAATATAGTTCTGTCCATTTTAATGTTCTTGTCTGTTGGATGGAAAATGAACGAGACTGGTGTTTGATGTGGCAGGAGAATAGATTTTGTTGGGTGTAAGCAAATCATTCAATGAACAGACTGCAATAAACTATTCAGTAATTCAATTCATAGTGTTCAGTAACTTTCTTATGGGATAGCATAATCTCCAAATGTTTTCTTTTGATGGTAGTAATGTAGATGGGAATTTTTGTTGCGTAGAGCACTGGCGTGCATTTTCCTTTAGAAAAGCTCACTGCCATAAATATGGGTTTCACTGCACTAGCAATGTAACAATTGGAGAAACAATTTCTTTCCTGAAACTCTGAATTCTGGCTTAAGAATTGTTGGGCGTCGGCTGGGTTGGCCGAGTTTAGCCCCTGCTTGATTCGAGACGTGGCGCTGTGGCTTACCATAGAGGGATGTGGTTAAATGGTTAATGTACACCTACTTATCACCAATTGGTTTTAAGTAGGATATGGCAACCAGATAGCCAAAGAGCTTATGGTTAAGCGTGTTTGACTTACAGTCATCACAGGATGGGTAACCTCTGGGAAGTCAGCATAGTGCAGCGCTGAGATCCATCAGAAATCCCGTTTGAATGTTGGGATTGTTGGACAGATACGTGGCAATCTCCCAAGACGTGTAAATAGACTAATGTATTTCATTTTGTCTCAGACCAGACAAGCTGAGTTTCGTAGTTTGGGGTTGTTTGGATCCTTTACAAAGATCGCAAAGACAGAAGGGGTGCTTGGTTTTTACAGGTGGGGAGTTTATTCCGTTTTTCGTTTTATTTATGTGGTCATCTTTTGTTCTCTTCGTCTTTCTCACACGTTTACTAATGTGTGTTGTAACGGGCTAACCTGTAGGGGAAATGGAGCGAGTGTTGCTCGTATTGTGCCATATGCAGCATTGCATTACATGGCCTATGAAGAGTACAGGCGGTGGATCATTCACTATAATCCCGATATTAAAAGAGGTCCCGTTCTAGACCTAATAGCTGGATCGGTCGCTGGAGGAACTGCAGTCCTTTTTACTTATCCGCTCGATTTAGTTCGAACAAAATTAGCTTATCAGGTAAGTATAATATAAAGATGTGCTCTATTTCATCTCTTATCGACACTAATAAAACCAAGAATTCAATTCCTACTTTCGTAGTTTTGTTTCAAGAGAATTTGATGACTGACTGTGTATGATAGTCTAGGTTATTGAATCGCCAAAGTTGAATGTCAAAGGGCTTGTTCCCGGTGAACAAATTTACAAGGGGATTCTGGACTGCTTTTCGAAGACATATAAGGAGGCTGGAATACGAGGCGTCTACCGTGGTGTTGGTACACAATATATGCTTTGAAGTAATAAATATTCCCGAGTAGAAATTTTCTTAGGTTTTTGTCCACTTCTTTACGTTTTGAGTTGTATTTTCAGCTCCTTCACTTTATGGGATCTTTCCATATGCGGGATTGAAGTTTTATTTCTACGAAGAAATGAAAAGCCATGTCCCCGAGGAGCACAAGAAGGATATCACTATAAAACTAGCGTGTGGATCAGTAGCGGGACTACTTGGCCAGACTTTCACTTATCCTCTAGATGTCGTTAGGCGACAAATGCAGGTATGACTGGCAAAGCCCAAAGCAATGCATCGATATTTGATGATTGGGAAAGATAAGATAACACGAAGTTTGCAGGTCCAACGACTTTCAGCATCTAACAGCAGGGAGATGGAAGGGACAATCGAAACGCTAGTTATGATCGTCCGGAGACATGGATGGAAACACTTATTTTCGGGGCTTAGTCTCAACTACCTAAAGGTAAGCATAAGCTGTTTGGTTGGATGTAGTTGCAATTCAATTACAACATAATTCTTTGGCCACCAGAATTACAGTGTTTGGTTGGAGGGAATTGCAATTCATACCCTCCCCCATATGAATTGCAGTTCAATGGGGAAAGGAAAGGGTAAAAGGAGGAAAATGACATTTTTACCCCTAATTATTATTAGTATTATTATTGCACAATGACATTTTAGTCTTTATACCACTTCTTCCCTTCTCATTTCCAATAATTATATTCCTCCCTACCAAACAGTGTAATTTGAATTCCTACTTTATTTCCACCTTATTCTTTTCCCACAGAATTACAATTTCTTTCCCCCCCTAATTCCTTCCAACCAAACGCAATTTTTTCCCAGTTGTCTGATCCACGTTGCATGTGTAAACTTCAGGTTGTACCATCAGTAGCAATCGGTTTTACTGTTTACGATGTGATGAAATCGTATCTGAAAGTCCCATCACGAGATGAGGCTGTTATAGAAGTTGTGACAAACCGTAGGCATACTCAAGCAGCACCGTCCCTCCGCTCCTAACAATTCTCGCTTTTCAGACATGTATTCGTTGTGATTTACAGGAGAGTTGAAGCTCTCCCAGAACCCGCCTTCCTTTCTGCATTTGTACATGATATTCCTTTGATGTATAGCAATAGATTCGACAAGATTTTTCAAGAAAGCAAGCTAGAGATGGCAGAATAAGAAATAAGCAAAGGTGGTGGTTGTTTCTGTACTTGAAGCATATATACATATACTCTGTACATAATGTCTGTATATATGCACATACAGATGCCTGTCAGGAAACAATGTAGCACTGAGATTCAATCCTCAGCACTGATAATGTTTGCAGTTTATGAGATATCAATTCTACGAGTTTATATCGTGGATCATGGTTTACATAGCAAGATAGATAGATTTCTAGTAGGAAAAAAGCGTCGAATAAGCTATCGAACTTTTACAATTTGTGCAATTGGACTACCTAACCAAAAAAGTGTGTTATTGATTTTTTTATTTTTTTTATTTTTTATTTTTTTTATTTTTGGGTTTTTTGTTTTGCTAAGTGGTCCAATTACACAAAGTATAAAAGTTCGATGGCCTATTTGATGTTTTTTTTTTTAATTTCTAGTATAGTGCTGGTTCATTTTGTCTTGTAATATACTAAAAATGAACATGTAATCCTATATTAAAATATAATGAATTAAAATTACTAAAAATGAATCTGTAGGTGAAGTGGTGAATGATATAATTTGTCTCTGTATTCATGAAATTATCTCACTTTTTAATCACTATTCACTAATATTATTTTATAAATTAGTTTTAAATATTAAAAATAATGAAATTAATTTTTTAAAAAAATTAAATAATAATTTATTTTAAATTTGAAGGATATATTTAAAGACCTTATCTTTCATGAATGACATAAAGTGCAAACATGAGGTAACCAAAAGATAAATCCCAAATTTCAAAGTTAGGTATGAATTTTTTGATTTCTATGTTCCACTAAAGGTGGCCATTGTTTTCATGTATTCATCATTTATCCCTAATGGTTGGCAGGGCTTGTCTTTACAAGTGACCTAATCCCACCAATAATCATACAAAGTGTATGTATATGCCCTACACTGCCTCATAATAATTAAACTTATATCATATATTAGTCATTTGTTTATAAAGTTCATTTCTCCACTTATAATCCTTCACCATTCTAGTACGCATTCATCAAATTAAGTGGGTAAAATATAATTCTTATACTTAAATATTATAATTTACAAATTTGATTATTGTTAACGTCTCTTTTTGGTTAAACCTGCTGCACGAAAAAAACTATGTAAAATTGTAAAAGCGAGAAATTTTATAATGTCAATAGTAAAAATATTATTTCAAATTAACATTTTTTTTTCCGCTTGTGGTGCCACAACTATGTAACTAGTTTCACATCTAGTTCCCGACTACTAATTTTTTTACACTTGGTGGTAGGACTTTTAAATCATTGTCACATTTAGTCCCTTCGACCTAATTTTCAGTCATCGATGACCAAATTTTAAATAAGTGACTTATCTTGAAGTGAAAATTTATCATTTCTCGACCCCTTTCTAAGAAGATAATTTTACTTTTTAGATAAGTTACTAATGTCAAAATTCTTGTGATTTAGTGACACCAAGTTGCTCCTCCATGTGAGAGGTTGTAGGTTTAAATTTCAGTGGAGATGATATTACATTGTAACAGAGTCGGCAGTTATCAACCAGAAGTTAGATATTAAATGTGAAAATAGACCAAAAGTGAAAAAAAACCCATTTGAACGCCACATTTGTCTAATTTTTCCAAAAGGTTAGTAATTCGAAAATCATTATCCCCTCCCTAGGGATTATACTATAAAGTAGGAGGTCTGATAGGGACATGGTTTTCATTGTCAACTTTGTCTGACCAAAAATATGATTGCCTTACATTTTCTTCTTGTGGGCTCAAGAAATATCCTTAATCTGTTCGAAATGTTGTTTACCTTCCTCTTTCCTCACCCCAATCTGAGAATTTCTTTGGATTTGACATTTTCTTTATATAATCCAATCCTTTTACAGGTTTGGCACCTCTCAGTTGTTTGTATGTGTATGAATAAATGCTCCCCATTTCATAAAAATAAAAGAAAAGAGAATCAATCAAGCCTGCAAATTGCTGGCTTTGTTGACATTTTGGCCTTCCCCTTCAACTTAACCCCAATAATACGTCCCTTTGCTCTCTGTCAATCTGTCATTGGTCATGTATTCAAGATTTCCAGATACTATTTTCTTGCTTGGAACAGCTTTCCGTTGTTGACTAAGAAGAAACCTGTTTCTTGACTAAAGTTGTTGCCATTTTGGTGGAAATTAGCTTGGAATAAACAGTTCCAACGATCTTTTACCTTTGTGAACTTTTGTCCTGCAAGTCAAAGCTGCCAGGGGATGAGAAACTGAAGTCTGAAGAAGTTTGCTAAAATGGGCACAAGGTGTTCGATGAAATGAAGGTGCTTCTTTGAAAGAAGGTGGGTTGTTTTAATTTGGTGGGTCAAGATGAATCTGAGGCAAAAGAGTGTGAAAGATAGAAGTTTAGATGTGGCAAAAAGGGTTGTGTTGGTTTGTGTTAAAGCTTCTAGGGATATCCCAAGAGCTGCTTTAGCATGGACTCTGACTCATGTTGTTCAGCCTGGAGACTGTGTTAAGCTGCTGGTGGTCATCCCAGATCATCATTCAATAAGTACCCTCTCTTGCATTGATACTCTGAAATTTTTTGTTATATATATAATGTTTATATTACATGTTCTTGTCAACATATGCTAAGAATTTGCTATAAAAACCTGCATGTTTAATAAGCTGCCATGATATCTGTAACTTTGTAACTAACAGCATATATTGCAGATTAGTAAATTATAAAACTGAGTCTTATGGTCTTGGCTGCTAATGTGGCATCATATGAACCACTGGTTAATATTAGTGTGTAAATTTAAGTCATATAGTCTTTAGTCTTTACTAGAAAACAATTGGAGCTTGTTCTTTTGGAGTTTAGATAGAAATTTTAATGGTTTCCGTTTTTAATTCTGAATGTTCACATCACGGACAATCCCATTCGTTTGTTTTCATCTTGCTATCTATAAAAGCTTACTTGAAATATTGTATTTCTAAAGTCATTCAGAGTATAATTGTTTTGTTACAATGTATCTTTACATTAAGTATATATGGAGCAGTGGCTGTATTCCTAGTTTTCTGCCATTTGTTTAATACAGCAGTATTTTGACTCTTCTATCTTCTAAAGGAGCCAGTGTTAATGCTTGAAGAGCTGGTGATTTTTTTTTTTCCAGGTAAACTATGGGGGTTTTCAAGATTCCACAGTGATTGTGCGCACACAAATGGGAAATCATTCTCGGGAACAGTTTTTGATCAGAAGGATTACATTACAGATTCATGCGCCCAAATAATGCTTCAGCTCAATGATCTTTATGATCCAAACAAGGTAAGTCCATCTGTCAATTTTCAACTTTCTTGGTGTCATTGGAATGTAGAGTATTTCACATCTTCAATTATGTTTGCAGATACAGTTGAAGATCAAAGTCATTTCTGGATCGGAGTGTGGAGTGGTAGCTGCTGAAGCCAGGAAAACTCAAACTCACTGGGTGGTATTGGATAAGTAATGCAGAATTCTATTTTTTTTTTTTAAAAAAAAAAAAAAAAATTGATCCTCATACCATATGATTTGATAGATGCATTTGAAATCACGATGTTATTGTAACACTCTCTTTGTGGATGATACACAGCTTAGATTTTATGTATCTTGTATCAAATTTCATATCTCTAATTATTTGGCAGGAAAATGAAAAAAGAGGCAAAAATTTGCTTGGAGGAGCTAGAATGTAACGTTGTTATGATGAAAAATTCTCATCCCAAGATTCTTCGTTTGAATTTCGGTGGATTGCCAAGCACAGAAAATGAAGTAATCGCTTGGTCTCAAATATCTAGAAATCTTTTAACTGAGATTCGGGTGCCAAATGTAACTCCTGTTAGCAGTCCAGAGCATCATATATCATCGACAACAACCGCTGCTCGAACATCCTCAATTTCAAGCTCAGAGCTTGAAGCTTCTCTACTTGCTACCTCTGATATCCGTTGGGATCTAAAGAAAGGAGGCTTTCCACATCGCGATGTCCGTTGTCTCTTTGATGAGTCTGATTCTGACACAGACATTGAAAAGCTGATTTCTCCTTCCACGAGTATATCTTCCAAGCAATCGACAGCAGATACTTTCAGTTCATCTGGTGAATACTCAAAGTTCTTGAAGAAAGGCTCACAAAACTTATCTAAGCATAAGATGCTAAATTTTGGTGTTCAGGACATTCATGGAAAATTCTTTGAACTTGATCCGAACCATGAAGTAGGAGGAGAAAGAGAGAGACTTTCTCTGGAGTTAAGCAAGAATGTGAGAAAAATGGTATTATTATCCAAGAATTCACCTCCGGACCCTCCCCCTCTTTGTTCAATATGTCAACATAAGGCACCTGTCTTTGGAAAACCCCCACGGTGGTTTACATATGCCGAGCTTGAAACTGCTACCTGTGGATTTTCTAAAGCTAATTTTTTGGCTGAGGGTGGATATGGTTCTGTACACCGTGGAGTCTTACCAGATGGCCAAGTCGTAGCTGTCAAGCAACACAAATCTGCGAGTTCCCAAGGTGACCGGGAGTTTTGCTCAGAAGTGGAGGTCTTGAGCTGTGCTCAGCATCGAAATGTTGTGACTCTAATTGGATTCTGTATAGAGGATGGAAGAAGGTTGCTTGTCTATGAATACATTTGCAATGGTTCTTTGGATTCTCACCTATATGGTACTTTCCTCTCCACTAAATGCACTTTAATTCTATTAATTCTTCATCTGACAATAGTTAGGGATTTCTGAAGAAGGCTATTTCAATTATGTATTAATGTTACATTTCTCCACAAAACAGGGCACAATCGAGATCCATTAAACTGGTCTGCGAGGCAAAAAATTGCAGTTGGAGCTGCTCGAGGGCTGAGATACCTTCACGAGGAGTGCAGAGTAGGATGCATTGTACATCGTGACATGAGGCCTAATAACATTCTTCTCACTCATGATTTTGAGCCATTGGTATGTCTTCCTCTTCCGTTTTTTTAGCCTTGAGATGATTTCTTTCACATATTTTGGCAAAAATAGAGACTATCATAGATGTTAGTTGCAATCAAGATACATATAGGCCCTGTTTGGTAAATGGCTGTTAGCTGATTGTGCTAATTTATACAAAATCAATCATCAAATTATCGAGTTTAAGTGATTGACTCGCTCTCTAAAATAGGTTGGAGACTTTGGACTAGCAAGGTGGCAGCCAGATGGAGACTTGGGTGTT